AATAAGCATCTATTTATATTTACTTAGGTGTATTTGTATACACGGATTCGCAAAAATCATTTCCTATATAAGCCAATTTAACACTTGTATTTGTGTAAGGTACAGGAGCTACGTTATTGCTATGTCACAGTGACGTTCGTATTTGTTTTATTTGAAGCAATTATTGACAAATCACTCATAAAACTAATTTGCAGTTAGATAAGAGATAGATATACCACCCGATACGTCAATGAAATATTTCATGTACTTTTTTAACGGAGTCCGCAATATGATACCATAAATTGCTGGTTTTGTAGTATTCAAGATATCTGTATGAACAAAACATTTAACATTTCAAAATTAAATTATATCAGTATTTACAAAAATCTAAAACTGAATCCATAGACTAGGTTTTGTAACGCATCTGTCATGCATTAGACTTACAAATTCTTATCTAGTAGTGAATACAAGTGAACTTGTAGAACTTTTTAAAACTCCAAATATTCATACAGGTTGCTGTTTATCATGTTTTGGATTACTAATAATAATAACAATAATTGGCGAAAATTAGCAAAGCTATTCTTACTCTCAACAATACTGAAACTAAAGTTTAATACTAATTTGAGATACAATTCTGACATTTTTACGAATATAAGTATACTTTATCTGAAGTCACTTGAAACACTGTGAAATACCGGATGCGTTTTATATATCTATATTTAACACGCTCTGTTGCTGCAAAAATCGCCAAATTTCGCAGCGAATATCCCCCGTATAAGATCAAAGGCAGTTTCACCGGTCCACGTGGAGTAAAGCACGCCTATGCGTGGACATAGCCAATGAGAAAGCGTGTATTTCAGAGCTCCGAACAAGTGCAGGTGGCTACTGAAAATTGAAACAGTTTAGCCAGTGCCGTGTAGCGGTGAATAAACGTGTTTTCTTTAGTCTGTCCGTGTTTTTTCATAGATTTTATTAGTTTGTGTGTTTTTGACTTTTGAATACTCAGTTTACTTGTTGATTTAATTGTTGTGTTGATTGTTCTTGTGTTTCCTAAATATGGCTCTTTGGAGACCTTGGGAAAATGCTCCAAGCCACGAGGAGATGGTTGATGAACCTGTGCAGGCAGAATTCTTTCATAAAGATTTAGAGGAACAGACCCAAAGAGTAATCCTAAATATGTATGATTGTCTGAAAAACGAAAATCCAGATTCCTGGCAAAATCAAATTTGAAAAGAATTTGTATCCTGACAAAAATCAGTCGGTCTACCATTTATCGGGTTATAAAAAGGGGAGATGTAGTCAACCATTCCTTCCACAGAAAGCGCATAGGGCAAAAATTAAAAAGAATAGACGTGGGTTTTCAGGAAGATATTCGTCGTATAATATACGGATTTTATAAAGAAAATTTGGTGCCCACGTTGGAAATGATACGGGATAAATTAAAAAATTATCCTGAAGATTTTTATAATTACAAATGCTTAGACTCACTGCACTGTATTGTAAAACTGTGTGGTTTTCAATACAAAAAATTAGATAAAAGAATGGTGATTATGGAGTCGTCTCGAATCGTTGAATTGCGCCAAGAATTTTTGCACAAAGTTAAAATCTATAGAGAGCAGGAAAGAAATCTGATTTACCTGGATGAAACTTGATATGATACCCATGATGTTGTGCAGTACGGCTGGGTTGACGACAGCAACAAGTGCATTTTAAATGCACCATGCAACCGTGGAAATCCAATCATTATTCTCCATGCTGGCAGTGAAAATGGATTTATACCTAATGCCTTGGTGTTGTCTGCCAAAAATATCAAAGAATCATGTGCCGACTATCATGAGGACATGACCTCCGACTTATTTGAAAAGTGGATAGAGCAGCAGTTAATACCAAACATTTCCCCAAATTCAGTGATTATTATGGACAATGCGCCATACCATTCCCGACAGAAAAACAAAATTCCGAATACAGGCTTAAAAAAACAAGACATTATTGATTTTATGAAGGATAAGGGAATGGAAATACCACAAAAATCAACCAAAGCCATATTATTGGATCTTATTAAAAGACAAAAATTTGAAAAAGAGTATGTTGTTGACAATCTGCTTCAGCAAAATGGCCATGAAGTATTACGTCTACCTCCCTATTACCGCATTTTTAACCCGATTGAGTTGGTCTGGGCTGCTTTAAAAAAAAGGTAAGGAAACATAATCAGACCCCTCAATTAAGTGAATCGCTATTGGCCACAATAAGAGATGCAGTATCTCATATTGCTGCCACAGACCTATGGAAGCAGTGTTCTAGACATATTATTGAAAAAGAAAATGAATATTGTGTTTTGCCTCCTGTAAATCCCGTTGTAATTCCTCTACAAGATGACTCTAGCGACAGCTCCGAAGGCGAGGATGATATATAAATACCTATAATGTAAGTCTTTATATACCTTTTTATATACCTACCTGCTATGTAACTATTTGCCTATGTCAAACGTTGGAATTCTGTAATTTTCCCATTTCTTAACTTTCAGTCAACATAAATTAAACTCCCAATATAAGTATTTTTTATCCCAAATCAAAAAAATAAGAAGATAGTAAAATCCATTTATTGTGATATAAAAACATTATTATTATCGTTCTAAATAAATGACCGCACGCCTATGATACGTCATGAAATTACAAAGGACGCGCCAACCAAAGGTTTTTATGCTATTTCAAGTGACTTCAGATAAAGTATGCATAAATGATTGTATGAATCTTTAAGCTAAGAAAGGAGGGGTAACGGATCAGATGTTTTATAACCAAAGGACATTTATTGATTGATCCTATGCTGCATTTCTAGGAGATGAAGGCTGAGATGCATTAGAAACAGATGCCATTACTATTTGATATACCAGCTGTACCTTTTGAAGAGGGATACTGCATTATACGTGAAAGACTTATAAAGAGTGATGTTATACATAGGCATTGTAAAATGGTTTTGATAACTTATATTAAAGTTATGTATAGGTACTTGACCTAGGGACTAGCCTTTCTAGTAAATATACCGGGTTCTTAGAATGTAATACAAGATTCAGTGTTGATACGCAAAGATATTGGAAAAGAAAATTGATATTAAGCCATTGTAAAGATCTGGAACGATTAAGTTACAAACAAAACAACAACAGTTATTCGGTGATCTGATTTGAGTTGAATAATCCAGCTATAGGTAGAAAACTATCAAACCATAATATACTAAGTGACATATAAATCCGAACACCCAGTTTAAAGGGTTTTATTTTAATATAATTTTGTATAAGTACTTAATGAAGCATAATAAGTAAATGATAAAAATTTCAAAATGATTGCACTGCTTTAAAGCTTGACCTTTAATAATGTGTGGATGCACCCTGATGTGCTAAGCATTCTCCAACGCGCCTAGGCATGCTTCTGATCAGGTGGCCAATGTCCTCCTGTGGTATCTCATTTCAGGCAACCACCAACTCCTCTCGAAGTGCTTCTAGAGTCTGAGGAGGACGTTGCAAATTGAGAAATTTCCTACCCATCAAAATAGGTGTGCCTCAGGGGACGGTTTTGGGACCAACACTGTTCCTCATACATACGAAGTGACATATAAATCCGAACACCCAGTTTAAATGGTTTTATTTTAATAAAAGTTGATGAATGTATTTATCTTACTGTAAATAACAAGTGAAAAAATGTTCAGCCTTATCAGTTGGACATTCCGGTTTTTGTACTGCTTTTTTTTAATTCACTAACGCTCTAAAAATGAATATTTCAGCCGCAGTAAAGAATCAACGTTGGCGGATTTTGGTTCTTGACATCCTTTACGATCGGTTACGATGCCTAGAGTACGGACCGGTATTGTCTTTAGTGACGAGTCTCGATTTTATTTAGGCATGCACGATGGTCGTGCCAGGGTTAGAAGGCGACGGGTGAAAGGAGGAATCCACAGTTTTTTGTTGAAAGACATGTTCATCACACTGTTGGAGTTATGGTTTGGGGTGCTATAGCTTATGGTTCCAGGTCACCTTTAATCTTCATCAGAGGTAACATGAACGCGCAGCGTTATATCCACGAAGTTCTAGAACTCCATCTTTTACCCTATTTTGACACCCTGGCAGATCCAACTTTCCAACAAGATAATGCCCGGCCACATGTTGCAAGAGTCACAATAGACTTCTTTCAACATAATGATGTCACATTGTTACCATGGCCACCAAGATCTCCCGACTTATCCCCAATTGAGCACGTGTGCGATATGATTTGCAACGTCCTCCTCAGACTCTAGAAGCACTTCGAGAGGAGTTGGTAGGTTGCTTGGAATGAGATACCACAGGAGGACATTGACCACATGATCAGAAGCATGCCTAGGCGCGTTGGAGAATGCGTAGCACATCAGGGTGCATCCACACATTATTAAAGGTCAAAGGGCTTTAAAGCAGTGCAATCTTTTTGAAATTGTTATCATTTACTTATTATGCTTCATTATTATTATTACTTATACAAAATTTTATTAAAATAAAACCATTTAAACTGGGTGTTCGGATTTATATGTCACTTAGTATATATAATGAATAACTACGGCCCTGAAAAGGAACCTTGGGGAACTCCTGTTATTGTTGTTATCCTAAATCTATTGTTATCTAGAATAATGCTTAAGTAATTGCAAAATAAGCTCAATGACATTATTGTCATGGCCATAGTGATACAGTTTTGCACTCCTAACCGAATGTTCAATGGGGGAAAGATCTTGAGATCGAGGAGGCCACCGAAACAGATTCACCCCGGACGCATTTACGCATGTATCACGTTCTTTTCTTTTTTCGAGAATAAGTCACTTTAGATCTGAATTCCTCTCATCTATGCACAAAAAGTGACTTTTTACCAATTTGCAACATCCGATGCCATCTTTCCGTAGCATCGCCAAATACAAAGTCAAGCCACCCTTCTGTAGGGTGGGATCTACCCGTAGCTAGTTGCCGGAGTATTGATTTTTCTTCCGAACGTCAACAAAATCTACGTACACTGGATGTTACAGTGTATCGTTGTGGAGCCGGAGGTCTTCATCGCATTTGTTCAAAAAATGGTATCTGATGCTGAAAGTGGTCTACAGCCCAATGAAGACCGGCCACATACAATTTATATCTCGCCCATTGCAAATGCGTCCTGGCCCACAGGAGAAAAAAATATTTCTTATACGATACCGCCAGGTAAGTTCAACAGTGCAATGCCCCTTCCACCTACGTGATTATCTTTGTCAAGAAAACTATTAAATAGTCTTCAGGAGCTCTGTTAGTGCAAACATGTTCTTGATTGTCCTTGGCTTTTAACCTAAGCTTCCGCAAAACTATTCATTTATTTATTTATTTATTTAGCAACATCCAACAGCCATAGCCAATCACTGGATGGATAAACATGAAAATATAAACAAATGCATGTAGAGAAAGTTAAAACGCTGCAAAAAAACCTCAAAACAGAACTGCGAGGAAAAAAAGCGTTGTAGCTTTACCTACCAGCACACACCGGCAAGCATTAACGAAAATAAGCAATAATGTATCCCAAAGTCGCACAAAACGAAAATATATCTAAAACGCTATTAACTGAATTATAATTACGGCACATTATGTAGATACGGGAAAACTTAAGTATGTCAGTCCTAGGCCTTTCTAAGTAAAAGGTTAAACTAGTTCGTGACGCTAATCTAGGAATTAAGAAGATAAGTTGTTCTAAGATGACACTGGAGTCAATAATTCCATGGATGAGCTTGTGAATGAACTTAAGTGAATTCTTTTTGCGTCTGTTAAGTTTCCTGTCACCAATACTATATTCATACATCATTACCCCTGTTTTTAAAGTAAACGACCAAACGTGACACTTAGCAGCATTCAAAACCAGTCTGTTTTCACGACACCAGTTGTCAACCGTTACAATGTTGCATTGCAAGCGATGACAATCGTCAATGTTAGACACTCTTCAGAAAAGTTTCATATCGTCAGCTATATAAGAAAATCTACATCGATAGCTTCAGAAATATACATAATCAATAACAGAGCTTCCAAATTAGATCCTTGAGGAACACCGGACATTACAGGGTATCCGCTTGACTTATGTTCATTGCACATAACATACTGTTTCCTATGAAATAAATAAGATCTGAAAAATAGCAACAATGCATCTGAAAGACCAAATCTAGATAACTTATACTCGTATTTACAGGGTGTTTTCAAAGTGGAGTCATTTATTTTAACTGCTTGTATGACCTGTCAAAATGAGTTGATATATCAAAAATCACCTATTTAAAGGTTGCATAATAAAATAAATAGTAAAAGATTAAAAATTTTAAAAATAAGAATGTTATTACACAGATTTGTGTGTTGCAAGTGCAAACCAGTACTAAACCATATCCAGACTCCAGTAAAAAAAAATTGAGCTCTTTGAATCTATAATAAGCTGAAGTCAGCCTATAATCTCTCATTTTGCTACCAAATTATATACAGGGTGACTTTGAAGTTGAGTCATTAATTTTCAGATAATGTAGAAGGAAGATAAACCAAAATATGTGTGTAAAAATAAAAAAAAAAATAAAAAAAATTTTTACCTTGTTTTATAAAGTATCCTCCCGACAAGTATTTCAGTGCGGACCTGTATTTGATCGTGAGGTCTTGGAGCACCGGCATGCCGTCCCTTGTGAGGTCTTAAGTCACCTGATTCACGAGCCCGTTATACTACATTAACAAAGGCACGAGGGGTTGGTTGCACTCGATTGGGAAACCGATCCGCATAAACATGTGCCATTTTTTATTTCGTTTGAGCCACGCAACAGACACCACTATTCACTCACGCGTTACCGACTGACACTGACTGTATACAACACAACTGAATAAAATAATTGTAAAAACATCGTTCCAAATTGTTTCGCTTTTTTGTTTCCGATGCGATGAACCGATAAGGCGGATTATATCCGTTGTTGCCAAACACGAGCACATAATATTATTATTGAGACAGGGCGGTACTCAAACTTCCAAAGAGCTATAACTTTGTTACTTTAATTTTACCAGAAAAATGGTAAAGGAAAAAGACATTTCTTTTGATCAGATCTACTCGCTGTTAAAATAAATGACTCAACTTCGAAGTGCTACTTACATATGGAAAACATTTGCAATCCTGTCTCAAAAATAAAACTAGAGATGATGATAAGAGTTATTTTATTGACACTCAGATACCGACATTGACCAACGTCTGCCGGTCTGTCCGGTAAATCTTGAAAAACTACGTTAGTCTTCTGGTTCTAACACTATTTAAAACTTTATGGTTGATACAGACATATCGGGCTTTCCAATAGGGACTTGACAACTTTGAACTTGCACTGTGAATGCACCTTTAAATCAATTACCGAACTGTCAATGTCAAACTTTTTTTTGTGGGGCTACGTTAAATCACTGGTCTATTCCAACAAGCCGACGTTGTTAGAGGAGTAACGGCCGTTTTTGTAGAAAGAATCGATCGCTGCGAACGAGCCCGTGGTGGACATACGAACGAGGTCGAATTCCATACATAAATGTTTGAGTATACTTAAATCCAATAATGAAATTTTCGAGATATCTCAAATGGTTTGCGTTTCATTTACAAAGTCCTTAACCCTGTATCTGCCTTTGCGCGACACCTTATTGAAAAAATCTAATATTGACACAGGTTATCAGTTATTACTTATAGATGACATAAGTTACTACTTCTTCTTCTTCATCGTTAGGCTCATTTGTTTGGGAAATATGTTCTCCGTCACTGAAATCGTCATCTGAGATATCGGAAATATTCGGATCTGTGGGAATTTCGGTCGGTGCCTTCTTTTTGCCCAAAAAAACATGTAGTGCTTATGGTTGGAAAATTATCCAGATCGGAAGACTGGAAACGAAAACGTAATTATTCTGGTATTGTTGCTTGAGAGATACATACGAAACAAAGTCATTTTCCTGCCTTATTTTCTGATCTATCGCTTAAAAATAATCATAAACACAAAGACTCAACCTTCTTTTGTACCAACCAAGGCTAATAGAACATAAAAACGAATGATTACTTACCAATTGCAACTAAAATCCCAACCACAGATTCATACGTGCACCAAACACCTGTTACGCGGCAACTATATTGAAAATTTTGACTCGACTTTTTATAAACAATATTATTTTCGTTAATGAATAATGTAGCTTACGCGCAACACTGCCCAATCAGACCGTAAGAGCAGGGAGGACGAGAAATTGAGGCTTAAAGATGATGTTGCCTACAGGCTACAGCACCAGATATAGGGTTAATGGAAAGCCATGTATATTATGAAATAACATTCTAGGTACTTGGTGGCCTTGGTGTGACTACTGGAAGAGCCCCCAACACACACTGTACCAACTAGCCAATTTTTGCTTTGTACTTGCTTATTCTTCAACATGTTCGAAGAGAGGAGTTTTGTTTATGCACAGCTGGTTAATCCTAGGTAAGAATAATACAGTCACTTTCAAATGTACCACTAAATTATAATAGTTAGCAATTATTTCAGCTAGTATCACCACTAACTCCAGTTCATACTGTATTGGACTCTGAGTAACTATGGTTGAAAGTGCTAGACGCTACTAAAAGTTAATAAAAACTGCCATTAACTTGTTTTCCAGCCAGAGCTAAAAAAATAGGTATTCAATATAAAAATGAAAAATACCTGTCTACTCGTACTTCATAGCCTAATAATAGCATTATGCAATGCATATCACATATACTCTCTTTGCTGTTCTCTTCCAGTTGAGTATTTGACTATAGTCAAAATAATATCTACAATCATGCTTTATTGATCTAAGGGTCGTATCGTCAGTGATTCTAGAACACCTTTATGGCCTCCTTGATCTTCATGTTTCCCTACTCTTCCTGTCAGCGCTCTATTTTAAGGTTATGTTACAAATATCTATTTGCATCAAATTGTTCATGCTTTTCTATTTATATAATCTATGTCAGTCTGTAATTTTCCACAATTCGATGAGGAAACATAGCCTCATAATAGGAGAGCGCTGACGCTGACACGGAACAGTAGAAATCTAGAAATACCCCAGCCTTTCTGAAGGAGAAAAAAGACTATGAGAATCAAGGAGGCCATAAAAGCGTTCTACAATTGTAGAAGCGGTTGACAATACGGCCCTAAAGGACCCTGCTATTTCAGGCTTGATGCTGTTTTCGACATGGGCTTGGAATATAATTTGTGCTCCAGACGTCTTCACGTGGAATTTTGCATTTATGTTGATGAATATGGCGCAGGTGTTCCACATTTTATATCAACTCAGGCCTGTGAAGTTCGATCCGGAACTGGAGGAAGCCTACCACACTCTCTTCGAACCGTTCAAGGTACGCAAAGTGATACCGAAAACTTCTTTTAGCTAGGTAAAAATAAGAAACATGTATACGTTTGAGATCAAAAAATATATTGACCTTAAAAGTATCATTGAAACGAATAGCTGTATGTTAAATGTAATAATCAATGCTCCAGTGGAAAAGTAGGGAAATAAACCTTATCATAATATAGAAAGAGAGTCGGTATCACTATACAGAAGTGTAATAAAATAATTTTTCATTGTAGTTGACACGATTGCAGTTTAAGAGAATGGTTAGCTCCGATTTCGCTCAAATAATGTCTCTTCATGCTGGAGAAGCATACGCTGTGCAAAATTTAACCAGAACTGACAGATTGGGCTTACTACTTTGCGGAAAGGTATGGCATTTTATTCTCTTCGGAAAAATCCGAAAGATTTTGCTAGCGATTTTTTTTGCCGCACTAAAGTAGGTGGAAGAAAAGAATTTGCTATTCCATCTCGGCATTTTTCTGCCTTACAATAAGTTTTAAGCAAGCGTCGATGATCTTGTAACAATATTTATAGTTTTCCATTAAATTTAATATCAGTATCAAATCTAATGCAAGTTTACACATAGACTAAGTCACATATAAATCCGAACACCCAGTTTAAATGGTTTTATTTTAATAAAAGTTGGTGAATGTATTTATCTTACTGTAAATAACAAGTGAAAAAATTTTCAGCCCTATCAGTTGGACATTCCGGTTTTTATACTGCTTTTTTTTAATTCACTAACGCTCTAAAAATGAATATTTCAGCCGTAGTAAAGAATCAACGTTGGCGGATTTTGGTTCTTGATATCCTTTACGATCGGTTACGATGCCTAGAGTACGGAGACCTGTACGATTTCGTCAACTTAGTGAGTTTGATAGGGGCCGTATAGTGGGACTTCGGGAAGCTGGACTTTCTTTTCGGGCAATTGCAGTTAGAGTGCAAAGAAGTGTAGACACTGTGGTTAGGTGTTGTCAGGCATGGCTTCGAGAAGGCCGTACGCAAAGAGCAAGGAGCACTGGACGCCGCCGTAGAACAACAGACCGTGAAGATCGCCGCCTAAGATTATTGGACTTAAGGGACCGTTTCTCCACTACCAGGTCCATTGCAAATGAATGGTTTGCAGAACACGGAAGACCTATTGGCATGCGAAGTGTTTACCGACGAATGAGAAGTTTTGGCTTGTTTTCATACCGGCCACACTGGGTCCTCCCTTTAACTCGAGAACACCGACGTAATCGCCTTCAGTGGTGCAGACAACGGTCACTCTGGGATCAGGAATGGAACAGTATTGTCTTTAGTGACGAGTCTCGATTTTGTTTAGGCATGCACGATGGTCGTGCCAGGGTTAGAAGGCGACGTGGTGAAAGGAGGAATCCACAGTTTTTTGTTGAAAGACATGTTCATCACACTGCTGGAGTTATGGTTTGGGGTGCTATAGCTTATGGTTCCAGGTCACCTTTAATCTTCATCAGAGGTAACATGAACGCGCAGCGTTATATCCACGAGGTTCTAGAACCCCATCTTTTACCCTATCTTGACACCCTGGCAGATCCAACTTTCCAACAAGGTAATGCCCGACCACATGTTGCAAGAGTCACAATAGACTTCTTTCAACATAATGATGTCACATTGTTACCATGGCCACCAAGATCTCCCGACTTATCCCCAATTGAGCACGTGTGGGATATGATGGGTAGGAGATTGCTCAATTTGCAACGTCCTCCTCAGACTCTAGAAGCACTTCGAGAGGAGTTGGTGGTTGCCTGGAATGAGATACCACAGGAGGACATTGACCACCTGATCAGAAGCATGCCTAGGTGCGTTGGAGAATGCGTAGCACATCAGGGTGCATCCACACATTATTAAAGGTCAAAGGGCTTTAAAGCAGTGCAATCATTTTGAAATTGTTATCATTTACTTATTATGCTTCATTAAGTACTTATACAAAATTTTATTAAAATAAAACCATTTAAACTGGGTGTTCGGATTTATATGTCACTTAGTATACTACAGACTCATATAATCATATAAGTTTTTTATTGCATGATGCTTTTCTGCTCGTGATTCAACTGTATTAGTCATTACGGAAACAATGGAATGGAAGGCACTCATTCAAAATGCGATAGAAAGATGAGATTCATCACTGCAAGATTTGGTACAATTCTGGATCCTTTTTTGAAGGAGGTCTATAAAGCGTGACATATTCCTATAAAATCATACCATCGTACTTTTGATTACAGGTGAACGTGCTCTCTGATAATCAATTCCTACACCCTATCTTGCCTTGCGAGTTCCTGGACTCTCCTGAATTTGAGTCAAGTAGAAATACCGTAGACGACAAGTTCAAGGTAAACCTTGCATCGCTTGGCACACCTGGGATCCGATTTTCTAACTGAAAATTCCATCTTTCAGGTATCTATAGTGGCCTGCAGTACTTGTCGGTACCTTTACTGGCAAAGGAGCGCCCTAGAATATTTGTTCGTGAAAGACACTTACATCGCCACAGTTTTGACAACGATAATCGCGAGAGACATTGCAACTAAGCTGTACGCGATGAACAACAAGATCGTGACAGCCAAAGGATCTCATTTGGATATCAGACTTCCGAGTATAACTTCATCGTTGACGTCTGGAGGGGAATACAAGTCTCCTATTAGGACAAAAAAGGTCAATGGAGGTACGAAAAATATCTGTGTTAAAATCAAGAGATTAAGGAATATTTTGCAAACACTTTACCGGGCGATTCTCCAAGGTGGCTCACTCCTATAACTTTTTTTAGTGAAGACTGAAAAACGAAAGTTGGAAATGACATTTTTTGCTTTGACGTACTTACGGTTTGACCGGAAACGACTCCAACTTTAGATTTTTAAATGACATACCGTATACAGGGTGTCCTAGAAGTCGACGTCAAGCCGAAACCGGGTGATAGGCAAAGTCATAACAGCTATCAGAAAAATATTTAAAAAATTTTATGTATGTGTTTTGAAAATTATAGGTCTTTGAAAAAAATATAGAAATTTCACACCCTACGGCAGTCTGTCAACTTCTGTTACTGGATTTTATTTTTACAATGTAATGATAAATAATGCATCTTCAAACTGGTGTCTCAACCTTACTGCCAACTTTTCTCGTTCAGGAAAAATTGCCACTTATTTCCCAACCAAGTATTCCTAAGTAAAACTTTGCTCAACTTTAACTGGCTGTACTGGAAAAAAATGTACTACGAGAGTTTGGCAAGTAACCTTAAATGTTGGCGCATTTAATAACGATTCCAAAATGGTATAACACTTAGAAGATTACTCGTTAACTTATGCACAATTTTTATTTGAAAAAAAACTGATGAAAATTTTTCAAAATTTCCTAATTAAACAGCGATTATGAAAACGCACAAGGACCCTTAAGGATAACTGTTTGCACAACAGTGGGCGTCAAAATGCTGCTGATGATGATTTACCTTTACAGCAAATGCTCAAACTGTTTTCCTTCAGCCGCAATACACGCTCGACATCTTCTTAAAAAAGATCGGGTTATTAAACGAGCGAATCCACGGTTATTAACAAACTCAGCTGCTTCCAATAGTCTTTGCCGTAGCTCAGCTACATTTTGAATCGGCTTGAAATACACTTTTTCTTCTCAGTTCCCCAGTAAAAAAATCTAAAGGATTCGAATCAGGTGATCGGGCTGGCCACGGTATTGTACCAGACCGCCTTATCCATCTACCTGGAAAGTTTTGATCGAGATACTCTCTCACTGAGAGTGCATAGTGCCCTGGGCATCATGCTGAAACCACATGTCCCTGTAAATACTCAGTGGCACGTCCACCAATAAATTTTGTACATGATTTTTAAAAAAATCCAAATAAACTTCAGCAGTCAAAGTCTCTGGGAACTCAAACGGACCGATTATTTTACCATTTAAAATTCCTGTCCAATGGTTTATCTTGAAGCGATATTGAGATTTATGTTCTCTCATCAAATGTGGGTTTGCTACGTGCCACTCGTGTAAGTTATGCAGGTTCATGTACCCATCTTTCTTAAATGTGGTCCCATCCGACCATAATTTTTTTTCAAAGAACTGTGGATCTTTTCTGTGTCTTTCTAACATTGTGCGACAAAAAGCAACTCGGGGCTCATAATCACGGGGCAGGAGAGGTTGAACACGCTGTATGTGGTATGGATGAAGCACATCACTTACTTGCTATTGCACACTTTGATACCGATTAGTACTCCTTCGTTTACTGCGCATCATTACATGTTCGTGCTTGTTGATTTCGTACTGTTACTAATTTTGGATTCGTGAACTGGACTGTTGATCGCTTGTGATTTGGATTTGGACTGTTTAATTGCTCTTCAAAACAACATTTGCTTTCCTTAGACTATCTTTGATAGTGTGATTGTGCAGTGCCGCTATGTCCGTGTACACCGTACAAGAATATGCTAACATGCACCTCATTTATGGGGAATGCAGACGCAACGCTAGTGCTGCAGCGAGACTTTACTGTGAGAGGTACTCGAATGCAGCTCGTCATCCAGATCATCGAGTGTTCACAAATGTGCACCGCTTACTGTTCTCAGAGGGCCAACTACCAAACCAATCACACGGTGAGGGAAGATCTTTCCTTCCTTACGAAGGCGTGGTGCTAGGAGCTGTCGAAGAAGACCCGGGTACTTCAGTGCGTGCAATAGAACTAAAAACAGGTGTGCCCATAGAATCTTGCAAAAAAACGTGCTCCATCCATACCACGTACAGGGTGTTCAAGCTCTTCTGCCCCGGGATTATGAGTCCCGAGTTGCTTTTTGTCGCACAATGTTAGAAAGACACAGGGACGATCCACGGTTCTTTGAAAAAAATTTATGGTCAGATGAGACCACATTTAAGAAAGATGGGTACATGAACCTGCATAACTTACACGAGTGGCACGTAGCAAACCCACATTTGATGAGAGAAGATAAATCTCAATATCGCTTCAAGATAAACCATTGGACAGGAATTTTAAATGGTAAAATAATCGGTCCGTTTGAGTTCCCAGAGACTTTGACTGCTGAGGTTTATTTAGGTTTTTTGCAAAACCATTTAGAAAATTTATTGGAGGACGCGCCACGGAGTGGGGAGACAGGGACATGTGATTTCAGCATGATGGCTGCCCAGCGCACTCTGCACTCTCAGTGAGAGTATCTCGATCAAAACTTTCCAGGCAGATGGATAGGGCGGTCTGGTACAATACCGTGGCCAGCCCGGTCACCAGATTTGAATCCGTTAGATTTTTTTTACTGGGGAACTGTAAAAGAAAAAGTGTATTTCAAGCCGATTCAAAATGTAGCTGAGCTACGGCAAAGACTATTGGAAGCAGCTGAGTTTGTTAATAACCGTGGATTCGCTCCTTTAATAACCCGATCTTTTCTAAGAAGATGTCGAGCGTGTATTGTGGCTGAAGGAAAACAGTTTGAGCATTTGCTGTAAAGGTAAATCATCATCAGCAGCATTTTGACGCCCACTGTTGTGCAAACAGTTATCCTTAAGGGTCCTTGTGCGTTTTCATAATCGCTGTTTAATTAGGAAATTTTGAAAAATTTTCATCAGTTTTTCTTCAAATAAAAATTGTGCATAAGTTAACGAGTAATCTTCTGAGTGTTATACCATTTTGGAATCCTTATTAAATGCATCAACTTTTAAGGTTACTTGCCAAACTCTCGTAGTACATTTTTTTCCAGTACAGCCAGTTAGAGTTGAGCAAAGTTTTACTTTGGAATACTTGGTTGGGAAATAAGTGGCAATTTTTCCTGAACGAGAAAAGTTGGCAGTAAGGTTGAGACACCAGTTTGAAGATGCATTATTCAACATTACATTGTAAAAATAAAATCCAAAAAAAGTTAATATTTGTAGTAACAGGAGTTGTCAGACTGCCGTAGGGTGTGAAATTTCTATATTTTTTTCAAAGACCTATAATTTTCAAAACACATACATAAAATTTTTTAAATATTTTTCTGATAGCTGTTATGACTTTGCCTATCACCCGGTTTCGGCTTGACGTCGACTTCGGGGACACCCTGTATATGGTGTGTCATTTAAAAATCTATAAGAGGGTCGTCTGAATAGTTTCCGACCTCAAAGTAAAGTTGGCACCACTCGTGAATAAAAGCTAGTGAATTTCGTTGTTCATCTGTTGACAGTTACTCTTCAAATTTTCAGCCTTTTGAGACGCGCAGTTGTTATGTAACAGTCGTTTTTGTGAAAATAAAATTGAGTATCGAGCTGTCATTAAATATTTGTTTTTGAATGGCAATACGCCTACGCAAATCAAAGATGAGTTAGATTCTGTGTACGGGACCTCTGCACCATTATTTACCACAGTGAATTTTCGGGCAGCTGAATTTAAACGTGGCCGTAAGACCTTGGGAGACGATGAATAGAATTGAAATAAAATTGCCATTGCAACTTTTTCTCATATTTTTTAACAAGGGATCACGTTCCATTTTTCAAACGCCCTGTATAATATGAGGATCTTCGTTCTAGGTGTCGGCATGTCACTGGACATGTACACCAACGACAGGTCCAAGATTCGTGAAAATGGCGGCACGTCGCAGAATTGCTACCTGAACGATATGGAACCGCTAACGGAGCTACCTTCCAACGATGATTTGGCTTCCAATGATGTCGAAAGTTGGCTGGAGACCAGCTCCAAATATCACAGTTGTGAAATAGTTGACACCGACTGATCTTCGTCGTCTTCAAATTCGGTGTATTCGGTTATATAGCTATCAGCACCGTCCACTGAGATACTACGGCTGAAGGGATAGCTGCCGTAGCATCTTCAAGCTGATCGTGGACCATGATATACTATGAATCACATTTTGCTTACTTGGTAATAACAACCGGACCTACTATCACTTTTTTCAGGACGTGTTAAAGTTTCTTACACGGGATCTCCTTATTCCTTCCAGGATAAGTTTCATCCTCCATTATTATTTATAATATTTAACAGATAATTCTTTGAGGAATTTTAAGACACGAAGCTTATACGAGGGATGTCTCTTAAGTTTTGCATATGGAAATAAAACAACACGGTGGGTAGTTTTAAATGACTTTATTGTTTTTCGAAGTATTCTCGCTCGAACCAATTTTCGAAGCACTGATTCCACTCGTTTGCTGGCAGATCCAAAACGGCATTTTTGAATGCGTCAACACTTCGAGAACAGATGACCTTTGTTGGTTTTTCTTCACCTTGGAACACCCAAACAGCCGGCTGTCGCTTATTATCTGGTTCATAGCAGTAAATCCACGATTCATCACCACTTTCAATGCAGTACACATTTTTTGAGTTTTCGGAATTAAAACGGTCACGCGTTTTTTGACACCAATTAAACCTGGCTGCTTTCTACTCTTCAGTCAACAGGTGGGGTATCCAATGAGAACCTAATTTTCTTACTCCTAATTCTTCATGTAAAATTTTTTGAATTGAGGTCTTTGAGATCTTCAAGGACGCCTCTCGTGATATGTCACATGTCTACCTTCAATGATGAGTTTGCGCACAGCAGCGACGTTTTCCTGGGTGACTGCCGTTTTTGGCGCACCCACCCTGGGATCGTCGCTAAAACTCACAGTAACTCACCAAGGCAATCTTGTTGCGATAATTGTCTCTGAAAGTTGTAATAAATTATGGTGCGAAAATTTTCTGGGTTGAGTTCCATTTTTCTAATCACTTGGCGACACTTAAAAATTCACTGTAGTGAGAACACGTATTGTTGTGAAAGTTTAAATTTAAGTTTACTAAAGAGTGAGGCTAAGATTCAGAACTGACGTTCGATCCGCGCGGCCTACTATGTTTCTATATACAAAACTTAAAAGACATCCTTCGTATAAACATCCTTTCGATCTCAAGATACATGGTGTTGAATTAAAAAAAAATTGTTTTTTGTAAATATCTTAAATATCCTTTTCCTAATTTTCTTGTAATTTGGCGGTGGTACTTATAACATTAAGAAGCTAATTTATCACTTGAGTAAATTTAGTCAGTGGCCTTGAAATGTCCCCAGAGAAAAATCTAAGGGATTCATATCGGGCGAGCGACGGGGTCATAGGCGAGGGCCTGCTCTCTCAAACAGGCGATCATGGTAATTTTTATCCCAAAATTGCCGCGCCACTACACTAAAGTGAACGATTTGAACGATTCGTTCAATTGCAGGCCTTCCGATGATACGTTTATCTTTTAAAGCTGCCTGCTTCAGAAGTCGAGCATGGAAAAATTACCACTAAAAACGGTTTTTGTAAAAATTACAAATGAATAGCTTACATAGACTAAGTTGACGACTGTCAAGTTGCTTACTAAATGTTGCAATCGCTTTTCAAGGTAACCCTTGATTATTATTTCCTTAGTTTAGTAAAATACATTAGTTTTTATGTTAATGCAATGTCACTTAACTTAGTGTTTATTTGTTGCTGTCACATAACACTGATCAACAGCCAAAAAATATCCTAAATAAAATCAACAAAATATTACTATCTTTAATGTGCTAAAACCGGAATGAAACTTATTGTTTCAATATTAGTTCAAGTTTTAGAGATACGGTAATTATATGTGTTCCTGCTGTGACAGTGTTAATATACTGTAATTCACAAGAATGCACGTGCTACATTTTTATATTCGGCAAGAAAAGATGATGTAATCGGCATGATTGTGTTACGTTACACATACGTGTACATTATATTGTTTTATATTAGCCATTTTTTCCTCAGTTGGCTGACAGCGTTCATGCAAGATGTCTCGAAAGTGTATAAACGATCCAGATCAGTTTTGTTACGTGTGTGGTGATGTGACTTTTGCGTCTCAGAGACGGTCTATTACTCCACTAGTAACAAAGGCATACCAGCTTTATTTCGGTTGTAAACTAGGTGATCAAGACAAACAGTGGGCACCCCACATCTGCTGTAATACATGTGCTTCAAGTCTGAGGAGCTGGTTAAATGGCAAAAAACGGTCTATGCGCTTTGCTGTCCCAATGGTTTGGAGAGAGCCTACAAATCATATTAATGATTGTTACTTTTGCATGGTACCTTGTGTTGGACAAGCCACAGGTATGTCCAAGAAAAAAAAATCGGTTATTAACTACCCAAACATACCATCTGCGATGAGACCTGTGCCTCACAGTGACGAAAATCCTATTCCAAAACCCCCAGAATCCTACACTTGCGAATCAGAAAACGAATCAGATCATGGCGATCGAGTGATTCGTCAGGAAGAAGATATGCCATCAACGTCAAGAGATCCTGATTTTATACCAAGCACGTCATGCCACCACCAACCGCACAAAATAACACAGTCAGAATTAAATGATCTTGTAAGAGATTTAGAACTTCCAAAATGTAAGGCAGAGTTACTTGGATCAAGACTGCAGCAGTGGAACTTGTTAGAAGACGATGTTTCGGTATGTGTTTTTCGTAAACGCCACAAAGACTTAGAACCATTTTTCAATATGGAGAATAACTTGGTTTTCTGCAGTAACATTAGCGGCTTACTGGCGGCTTTAAATATAAACTATAACCCAGAAGAATGGAGATTGTTTATAGACAGTTCAACATTGAGTTTAAAGGCAGTGTTATTGCATATTGGAAATATTTTACCATCTCTTCCTGTAGGGTATGCAGTTCACATGAAAAAATCATATGACAATATGAAGTACCTATTGACATGCATAAAATACGATGAGCACCAATGGCATATCTGTGGTGATTTGAAAGTTGTTGCACTTTTACTTGGGCTGCAGCTAGGCTACACAAAGTTTTGCTGTTTTTTGTGTGAATGGGACAGTCGGGCAAAGGCACTTCATTACACCAGACAAAACTGGCCTGTTCGTCAATTCCTTGAGCCAGGTCAAAAAAATGTACAGCATATGCCATTAGTAGATTCGAAAAAAATTTTATTACCACCACTGCATATCAAGTTGGGCCTAATGAAAAACTTTGTTAAGGCATTAGATAGAGATGGGTCAGCTTTTCAATACCTGCGTCAGAAATTTCCAAGTCTAAGTGAGGCAAAGGTTAAAGAAGTGTATTTTTGTTGGGCCACAGATTCGAAATATTTTCAAAGATACACAGTTCGAAAACACTTTAACAGGTATTGAAAAAACTGCTTGAAATGATTTCCGTCTGGTGGTCACTAATTTCTTGGGAAATAGAAAAGCTGACAACTATAAAACCCTTGTCAAAAATATGCTGTCATCGTATCAAAAGATGGGCTGTAATATGTCTCTTAAGATACATTTCCTACACTCACACCTGGACTTTTCTCCTGACAATTGCGGAGCCGTAAGTGATGAGCACGGCGAACGTTTTCATCAGGATATTTCGACAATGGAAAAAAAGTACCAGGGAAAGTGGAATCCTTCCATGCTTGCAGACTACTGTTAGACTCTTGGTAGAGATGCTCCAGAAACGATCCATAAAAGAACAGCAAAAAGACAGCGCATATACTGATTCTTATAAGTATATGAATCTTGTTACTTTTTTTAATATATCCTTAAAAATAGAAAGTTTTTTTTCTAAACCGAAACTAATTTTTTTATTTCATTGTCATTTTTGGATTCAGCGCCCCAAAATTAACAAAGAAGTGCACTTTTCCCACAAGATACAATTAAAAAACTAAAACACTTCCAAATGAAACTTTTCTCCATATTCCTTGTGCGTTCCAGGGATATGCAATTAAATGGAGTTTTGTTTTTCGAAAACTGAGCAAGATACGGCAAAAATTAAAGGGACAAATGTTATCTCTATTTTCTTAATACATAATAGACATAATAGAAATTGCATAAAAGTCAGCAACGTATATTTTTTTGACACAAATATTCGTTCAGATCCCGCTCGAAAAGCCACTGGACTTGTTAAGTTTAATCAAGTCAGAGGTAAATTAATTCGATAATATTATTAATACCGCCACCAAAAATTACAAAAGGATTAGGTAACGGATGTTTAGAATATTTACGAAAAAACTTTTTTTAATGTTAACACCCTGTATCTTAAGAACGAAGAAATGACTCATAAAATCCTCTGTTAAATTAACGGTACATCCTAAATTGACACCCTGTATGTTCGAAAATGAATAATTGAGAATTTGAGTCAAAATAATGAAAAAAAGATGAAAATAATGCATGAGAATTCAATTATAATTCGTAGTTTGAACTCAAGCTGATTCAGTCAATCAAACCTGCAAATAAGTACATATATAATAACAGCCAATTAAACTAATTTGTATCAAATAACAGTTTATCAACTAGTGGCATTTTTCTTACTTCTTCGCCACCGGGCGAGGAGTAATTGTAATCCCCAAATATTCCAAAAATGCAGTATTAAGTTTTTTCGATGTTATATGACATGTACATCACGAAAAACCATTTCACTCATTTACTTGGATTTGGATGAAATATGATCCTTTATGAACTGATGACCTTGAGTAGAAAGTGCAGAGTTAACCTTCTTGACGCCTTTTTTATCATCGCTGAAACACAAAGATTAAAAAGTTAATGCTCCTTTTGTGCATAGCATAGCAGCTTCAGCGACAAAGAAAAATGAAAGCTTTCTACAAACGACTTCCATTCCATTATAAATATTTCAAAGCTTTTATGTTGATTAGCTGGTTGAAATAAACAACAAGTCGGAATTAATTACATCAAGTTCCTCTTGTAACACCCTGGTGTATTAAATACCGCTTGAAGCTTTGTCTTTGTAGGCAACTTTCTCATATGATGCAGTGATACAAACGTACATTAACTTTGATATCTAAGTATATTATGAGAGTCAGTGTCTGCAAAACGCTATATTTACAGTAAGTGCACCCTTGAAAGGGCGGGAATTTACACAGAAACTAGTACCAAATATTCATACAAAAGACTATGTTACATTTACATTTTCTTTTTTCATTCATGCATTCATCATACGAATACCTATATAACCAACGTATACAATATTTCGTTATATAATATTAAATGCCTAAATGAAATTAATAGATAGTAATGACTATTGGAAGATATCATATTATCAGCTTTGATATTAGAGTAAAAAGGTATTTGGCACTGACTCAGATATATGATAACAAACTGTACTTTAGTTATACAGGGTGGCCAATATATAACTGACTGATTCAAATTATGCGCCATTTTGATACACGTATTTCAGTATGTGACGCCGCAGTAGTTGTTTAAAGCACACGTGTCCAATTCATCATCGAGCGCTCACGATCCCACAACGCGTATTCTCAAAACCTTTTACTTAAATAATCAGTCGATTGTTGCAACGGTACGGAAGCTATGACAAGATTTCGGTCGAATTAGTGTGCCCAGTGTCAACATCGGTCGCCAATTCGTGAAAGTGTAGTGGAGCGCCCTGAGACGTCTACCAGACATCGTTCTGAAGAACTGGGTATTCAAAGATTAAGATGCAAAAAATGGACGTATTTTATTTCCTTTCACTAATATTCAAGATACAAACCGGTCAGTTACATATCGGCCACCCTGTACTTGTATCCAATTATCTCTGTGACGAATAGCAGTCGGTGCTTCCTTCTAATAACTGTATATTTATATATATACAATTAATTGTTAATTGGGAAATTATATATATATCTATATATACGAGTATATATATATATATATATACTAAGTGACATATAAATCCGAACACCCAGTTTAAATGGTTTCATTTTAATAAAATTTTGTATAAGTACTTAATGAAGCATAATAAGTAAATGATAAAAATTTCAAAATGATTGCACTGCTTTAAAGCCCTTTGACCTTTAATAATGTGTGGATGCACCCTGATGTGCTACGCATTCTCCAACGCGCCTAGGCATGCTTCTGATCAGGTGGTCAATGTCCTCCTGTGGTATCTCATTCCAGGCAACCACCAACTCCTCTCGAAGTGCTTCTAGAGTCTGAGGAGGACGTTGCAAATTGAGCAATCTCCTACCCATCATACCCCACACGTGCTCAATTGGGGATAAGTCGGGAGATCTTGGTGGCCATGGTAACAATGTGACATCATTATGTTGAAAGAAGTCTATTGTGAGTCTTGCAACATGTGGTCGGGCATTATCTTGTTGGAAAGTTGGATCTGTCAGGGTGTCAAGATAGGGTAAAAGATGGGGTTCTAGAACTTCGTGGATATAACGCTGCGCGTTCATGTTACCTCTGATGAAGATTAAAGGTGACCTGGAACCATAAGCTATAGCACCCCAAACCATAACTCCAACAGTGTGATGAACATGTCTTTCAACAAAAAACTGTGGATTCCTCCTTTCACCACGTCGCCTTCTAACCCTGGCACTACCATCGTGCATCCGTAAACAAAATCGAGACTCGTC